TCTGGAGAGATCTTGAAAAAAACTGTAATTCTCTTAATAGCTGACCTTTCTGCTTTAGGCACGTGTACACAGAACCTCTTGCCTTTTAGGACACAGGAATCAGATGATGGTCTTTAAAAGATGACTTTTATTAACAAAACAAAGAAAATATGCTTGGTAAAATATTATTTGGTTGCTATGTAATACAGAGCAACTGAAAAAAGAAAGATTTAAGGCACACAGATTTGCTTTCTTGGGATTCAGTTTAAAATTACAGTGTGGGGTGGGGGGGAATAATACTCAGCAATGAGAAGTCCAACAAACTTAAAACCAAAGAAAATAGCCTCATCCCATCTGACTAAACATTTCCAGTTCTTTTCACATATCTATTATTCTACGGTTTAGTCCTTCCCTAGACATGGATGTTATTGGATCTTCTATGCCTTGTTTCTTCGCTCAGTCCTTGTTTTCCAGCTCTGCTCTGGTCATACAAAGACCAGAACCTGCTTCCAATATAAAAATCCACACATTGTTTTCATTGGCTCTCCTGGCTTCCTCCCAACACTTCCTTCTTCCCTAGCATTCCTGGGGCATGTCTACACTAGGAAATTATTTCAAAATAATAATTTTGAAATAACATGTCCACACTGCATAGAATCCTCGAAATTAGTCTGAGGCAGACTCCCTTAATGTGGATGTGCTACCTATACTTAGATCCCCAGGAAGCATTGGGAGGAATTACTTTGAATTTATCTGGGGAGTAGTTATTTCAAAATAACCAGCATCTACACTACTGCTATTTCAAAAAAACTATTTCAAAATAAGTGTTATTCCTTGTGGAAAGCAGGAATTATTTAGAAATAACCAGCTCCTTATTTCAAGATAATGGTCCTGGCAGTGTGGATGTTCTACTTGTTATTTCAAAATAAAGGAAGTTATTTCAAAATAACTCACTAATGTAGACCAAGGCCTGGAGACTCTCTAAGATCTACTGTCTGTGGATTTAATCCTTACAGGCAATTTAGTTAACAGAATAGCTGGGGTTCAGAAAACAGTAGTACCCCTACCATTCATTACAGTGTTAATGTAATAAACTTTTGTGAGACAAAGGTATCACTTGATATTTTGGTTAAAAAACTAAAATGAGACAAAATTAACATTGCGCACATTAAACTGGAAATTGAAAATCATCATCAACTTGGTGTGCTTCTAGTGGTGTCCTGCAAGGATTTCTTGACCCTGTGCTATTTTTTTGATTAATGATATAGAAGAAAACATAAAATCATCAGTAGTAGCGTTTGGATGTGACTTAACTAATGGGGGAGTGGTAAATAATTTAGAGAGTAGGTCACGGATACAGAGTGATCTGAATCACTTGAATAGGCTGGTACAAGCAAAACATATACATTTTAATATTTATAAATGCATCCATTGAAGATCAAAGAATGTCAACCTTGCTTATCAGATGGGGAAGCAGAGACTCTGAAAAATATTTGGGGATCATGGCGGATGATCAATTGAACAGGAGCTCCCAGTGTGACATTTTGGCTGAAAAGACCAATGTGATTCTAGGACACAAAGAAGGAGTTATTCACCTTGTACAGTAACGGTGGTTCTTCGAGATGTGTGTCCCCGTGAGTGCTCCACTCTAGGTGCTGGTGCATCTTCGCACCGGCGACCAGAGACTTTTCTATCCGTTTCCACCGTTGTGCCGTTGGTGTCTGTTAGGTGCGCACGCAGCCCCTCCATTCCTTCTCTACCTGTGCTATTAAGAGCATGGGGCTCCAAAGCAGGGGAAGGAGGGAGGGTAGTGGAGCACCCACGGGGACACACATCTCGAAGAACCACTGTTATTGCACAAGGTGAGTAACTCCTCCTTCGAGTGGTGTCCCACTCCACTCTGGGTGACTACACAGCAGTTGTCGGCTTGTGGAGGTGGGTTTCGAGCCTTGTATTTGTTACTGTGGACAGTACTGCTTGTCCCACCGCCATGGATGATGCAATGGAAGAAGAAAGAGCATAGTGCTGTGCAAATGTATGGTCTTATGACCACGTGGCGGCATTACAAATGTCTTGGAGAGGGACTTTGCTGAGGAAGGTGGTAGTGGAAGACATCACCCTTGTGGAATGCGCTCAGATGGTTCCAGGTAAGTCTTTATCATGGAGTGTATAGCATGTGTGGATACATGAGGAGATCCACTTAGAGATTCTCTGCGATGAGACTGCTTGTCCTTTGGATCGTACTGCTTAGGACAGAAACAGTCTAGCAGACACTTGTCAGGCCCTGGTGCGATCAATGTAAAATGCAAGTGCTCTGTGAATATTGAGTGTGTGCCACACAGCGTGCACAGGATCAGCGTGCGGTTTATGGAAAAAGGCAGGTAAGTGTATGGGTTCATTGACGTGGAAGAGGGAAGGTACTTTGGGGAGAAATTTTGGGTGGGGTTGAAGTGTAACTTTGTACTTGGTGAACATTGTGTACGAGAGTTCAGCCATCAGTGCAGTGAGTTTGCTCACTCTCCTGCTGGAGGTTATTGCAACCAGAAAGTACACTTTCATTGATAGATGGGACCAGGAGCAAGTCGCTAGCAGCTCAAAGGGTGGTTTTATCAAGCTCTTGAGTACGTGATTCAGATCCCAGACAGGGACTGGTGGGCGGACAGGTGGAAAGATGTTCTGTAGGCCCTTAAGGAATCTCTTGGTTATCAGACTGGCGAGGAAGGAAGCACCTCCCTTAGCCCGATGGAAAGCTACTATGGCAGTTGCAAGTACTCTGACCGTACTTAGAGCAAGGCCCGATTGTTTAAGGTGTAACAGATAGTCCAACAGAAGAGGGAGGATTCTGGAGGTGTCGTATGAAATCGTTTGAACCAATGGGAGAATCTCTTCCATTTATATAGGTATGTTTTCCTGGTGGATTGTCTCCTGCTAGTAATTAGTATTTCCTTCACCATTTCTGAACAAGGGTTTTCAGCATCCTGGAGCCATGGAGGAGCCAGGCGTGGAGGTAAAGTTTGTGCGGTTCTGGATGAAGGTTCTTCCCATGATTTTGGGATAGGAAGTTGCGCTGAAGTGGGAAGGCTTATGGATCTGCGATTGTCATCCTGTGGAGGTAAGGATACCATGTCTGCCTGGACCATGCTGGTGCGATCAGTATCACTTGAGCTTAGTCTGTTCTGATCTTGTTGACCATGTTCTGAAGAATAGGAAAGGATGGGAAAGTGTAGAGGAGAGGTGCGTCCCACCTGATGGAAAAGGCATCCCCCAGCGAGTGCATTCCTAAGGCTGCCCTGAAGCAATAAAGGTGACACTTTCTGTTGTTCCTGGTGGCAAAGAGGACTATGTCTGGTTGGCCCAACTGGTGAAAAACTTGATTGAGTGCACACTTGTCTATTTCCCATTTGTGATGGTTGTGAAACCTGTGACTTAGTGCATCTGCCGTGACATTGAGTACCCTTGGAAGGTAAGAGGCCACTGAGGTAACCTGGTGAGTCAGGCACCAATTCCATAATTTGATAGCCTCTGCACAAAGGGATGGGGATTGTGTTCCTCCCTGTCGATTAATGTAGTACATGTCTGTCATTATAGTGATGGACTTGTGGGCTATATAGGGTAGAAAATGTTGGCACGCATACCCAACCGCTCGCAGTTCTAGGAGGTTGATATGGAATGTTTGCTCTGTAAAAGACCATTTGCCTTGAGCAGTGATGGTTCCTAAATGGGCCCCCCAACCCATGAGTGATGCATCTGTCATCATTGTAAGTGTGGGGGAAGGTTGTTGGAATGGTACCGCCTCTAGCATATTTTGTGGGTTCATCCACCACTGAAAGGAGTTGAGAATCAGTGGTGAAATGATATCTAGTTTGGAGAGTGGGTCTCTGGATGGCATATAGGTTGTGGCTAGCCAAGACTGTAGGCCTCTCATGTGGAGCCTCACAAACTTGACAACGTATGTTGTGAAAGCCATGTGTCAGAGAATTTTGAGGCATTCGCGAACTGTCATGGTCAGTGCTGACTGTGCCCCTGCAATAAGATTGCGCAGGGTATCTAACCTGTGTTCGGGTAGGATAGCCTTTGCCACCACTGTGGTGATGAGAGCTCCTATAAACTCCAACCTCTGGGTTGGGTGAAGCCTGGACCACGCTGTGGAGTTTGCATAGTTTATATGAAACCCGAGGTTGAGCAGAAAGTTTGTAGTAGTATAGATCTTGGTCTGTGTTTCCTGAAAGGACGCCCCCTTTATCAGGCAGTCGTCTAAATATGGGAATATTATGACTCCCTGACGTCGTAGTGAGGCTATTACAACCTCTATAGTTTTGGAGAATATTCTGGGGGCCGTTGAGTGGCCTAAGGGGAGCACTCAGTATTGGTAGTGTTGGTGGCCCACCATGAATCATAAGAAACGTCTGTGTGCAGGATGAATTGTAATGTGGAAGTAGGCATCCTGGAGGTCGAGAGCTGAAAGCCAGTCCCCTTGATCAAATGAGAGAATTATTGTTGCTAGGGTCACCATTTTGAAACGGTGGTAAGTGATGTACTTGTTGAGTTTCTTCAAATCCAGTATAGGCCGCCATCCTCCATTCTTTTTCTGTGTTAGGAAGTAAGTTGAGTAAAACCCTCAACCCTGAAAGTCTATTGGTACCTGTTCTATGGCACCCAGGTGTAGGAGGTGCAACACCTCTTGCTGGAGGAGGGTCTTGTGAGAGGGGTCCCTGAAAAGGGATGGGGTGGGAGGGTAGGTGGGTGGGAGGTGGAGAGGTATAGGAGATGGCATAACCATGTTGCATGAGTTCTTAAGACCCATTTGTCCAATATTATTTGGGTCCACTATTGAACAAAGAGGCGGAGGCGGTGATTGAATTGAGAATGGTCGGGTGGTATAATTGTTAGTGAGGTGGCTTCCTGGCTCTCAACATATTTTTCAAATCTGCTGTTTGGATGTGGATGGCTGGGTTGATGCAGAGTGCTGCTGTTGTTGGCATTGGGGTCTGCGACGCTGGGGTCTTTGTTTTTGGTTGAAGTCATACATGGTCTGTTGCCTGTATGGCCCTTGCCCTTTTGAATGGGGGAGTATACATTCCCAGGGTTCTGAGGGCAGCATGGAAGTCCTTCATGGAATGCAATACCTCGTCGGTCTTAGCAGTGAACAGATTAATCTTGTCAAAGGGCAAGTCCTCGACTTTCTGCTGCAGATCTCTCAGGACCCCGAATGCCTGGAGCCATGAAATCCTGTGCATCATGATGGCTGACGCTGTTATGTGGGCCGCAGTGTCTGCTATGTCCATTGCGGACTGTAGGGCAGTGCGAGAAACAGTGTGGCCCTCCTGCATGATGCTAAGAAGTATCGGTCTTTTGTGTTCTGGTAAATGTTGCAGTTTTGAATAACTGGAATGGTCATAGTCTGTGAGCATAGCGGTATAATTCACTGCTCTGAGGAGCAAGGTGGCAGAGGAGTAAACCTTACAACCCATGATGTCCATTTTTTTGTGGTCTTTATCCTGCGGTGTGGACCTGATGTTGGGCTGCCTAGCCGTATGGCTGACAGAATGAACTACTAACGAATTTGGTGAGGGGTGGGTAAAGAGGAAGTTCATCCCTTTTGGCGCAGTGAAATACTTGCGGTCAGCCCTCTTTTTTGTTGGAGTAATGGAAACTGGAGTCTGCCAGATGTTATCTGCTAGGTCCATAATGGCTTCATCCATAGGGAAAAATAATCTAGAAGTGGCGGGGCCGTATGGCTGACAGAATGAACTACTAACGAATTTGGTGAGGGGTGGGTAAAGAGGAAGTTCATCCCTTTTGGCGCAGTGAAATACTTGCGGTCAGCCCTCTTTTTTGTTGGAGTAATGGAAACTGGAGTCTGCCAGATGTTATCTGCTAGGTCCATAATGGCTTCATCCATAGGGAAAAATAATCTAGAAGTGGCGGGAGG